CTGGGCCTTGCTGCCAGGCTGCGGCCCCGGGGAGGCGCCCGCCGCGCCCCAGCGCCTCGCCATGAACAGCCCGTACATCGCGCTGGAGCTGCTCATCGCCCTGCTGTCCATCGCGGGCAACGTGCTGGTGTGCTGGGCCGTGGCCACCAACCGCACGCTGAAGACGGCCACCAACTACTTCCTGGTGTCGCTGGCCGTGGCCGACATCGGCGTGGGCGCGCTGGCCATCCCCTTCGCCATCACCATCAGCATCGGCTTCCACGCCGACTTCCACAGCTGCCTCTTCCTGGCCTGCTTCGTGCTGGTGCTGACCCAGAGCTCCATCTTCAGCCTGCTGGCCGTGGCCGTGGACAGGTACCTGGCCATCGGGATCCCGCTCAGGTGAGGTGCGGGGCACCGGCACCCCCGGGGCGGGATGGGGGACGAGCAGGGGATGTGCCGGCTCTGGGGTCCCTTCTGGCCCTGCCTGCTCTGCCCCAGGGACAGGTCTGGCACAGGGCAGCCAGAGCCCGAGGGGCCCGTGGGAGCCGCGAGGGGCCTGCGGTCGGCACGTACGGCTGTAAAAGCCGAGGGGCTGCGGCTCGTAGCGATCCAGCTGCTCGTTTCGGCCCCCAAACACGACCCGAGCTGTTTGTGAGTGTCCGTTTCTCAGCCAACAGCTGGATCCCGGCCGAACCTCCCGCTTGCTGCACGAGTCAGGTTGAAAGTGGCCTTCTGTGTTAAATCACCTTGGTCAGAGCTGAGGTCCCCTGGGCTCTAGCCCCAGCCCAGCGTGGCTGGAAAGGCCGCCCGTGCTGGGGAGAGCGGTGCCGTGAGTGCTTGCATACGTGCAAGTCTAATAGAAAGACACCGTTGGAGTGGGGAGCAGATGCAAACATGGGAAACCTGGAGCAGATCTCTCCTTCCTCATTTTTGGCAGGAGTCCTCTTGAGTCAGGATGGGATCGTGTGAAAGAGAAACTGGTCACGGGCTGTGCTGAGGGGCAGTGTCATGCGCCGGGCCAAAGGGCCTGGTGAGCTGGGTTGAAACGATGCCGCAGCTTCCTAGTGGCTGGAAAAGTGCCACCAAAGCCGGGTCCTAAGGTCACAAGCGTAGCGAGCGTGTGGGTCTCAAGCCGTCACGGACCTGGTGTGGCTGCACCTTAGCATCGGGGGGAGTTGGCAGAGCCGTGTGCCCGCGGGGCTGGGGCAGGGCTGGGGTGCCCAGGAAGGGGAGCACCTCCGCCCCGCTGCATCATTGCAGTTTATCCACCCCGGGGCCTTGCTTTGGTGGCCGAGAGATTCCCACGACGGTGCGGTATCTTTGAAAGAGGTGACCCCTTGGCCCATCCCCTTGGCCCTTTTCTAGTACATCAGAGCGTCTCGGTGCATTTAGCAAACGTGATTTCCCCGTCAGGCAGGGGCCGTGCGGCTGGAGTGGAAACCGTGCGGGAGGGCAGCGGGCCACAAGGATGCTGAACAGAAAGTCCGCAGCACGCCCCCTCTCCGGGAACGGGCTTGAGGCGCGGCGGTGTCAGGAGGACGACGGGCTTAGGGGGTTCAGGGCTGTCAGCCTGTGTGAGCCTGGCTAATCGTTTACCTTCTACCTAATCGGAGGAAATAGCCTTTGGCTCGAGATAATGATTTATTGCCTATTCTGTGTATTTATTTCTTGCTCCCTGAAGTGGATCTACCGGCTCCAGAGGGGCTAAAAGGCAGCTTGGCTTTTTTTTGGCCTGCTGTGCCATCAAGCCCCCCCTGCAAGACGCGGCGGCGTGGCCGTCCAGGAGAACTTCCTTGCCTTGGACCCTGAATTTTATTTCTGGCTGGAAGGGACGGGGGGACGCGGGGTGGAGAATTGGGTTTCTGCCTGAGCAGAGGTCACAGCCGAGCAGGTGTTCTGCCGCGGAGGGTATTTTTAACAGCTGGTAGGAAAGCAAATCTTTTCTCCCCGCTTTCTCTGTTCCTTGATGGGCAGCCGGTTTGGCGGGACGGGTGGGTTTATGCTCCCACACGGGATGCGATGGCCCCTTGTTTCCTGTTGGTTTCCACTGCCATCCTGTAAAACTGCACATCGCCTTTGCCGCCTTCCCCTCTGCACGGACGTCTTTGTGACCGTGGTTCCTCTACGGCCAGGGGGTGAGATCCAGGGTCTTTTTCCTGGTCCTGGCAGCAGCGCAGGGCATGGCCGGATCTCTGTCTTTGCACGGAGGAATGTCCGTGGGCAGGGTGCGTGCAGGGATTCAAAGATGGGATTTAAAGTCCGTGGTGTATTTTGGAAAGCAGGGAGCAGCCTTCCCGTCATGGGGTCCCGCAGCGGTCACCCTCGCAGGGGTGTCCCTGGATGAGTGTTTGGTGCAGGGCACACGCAGGTACGTTGCCAGTGCAACGCTGCCACTTCAGGGACTTCTGTCCCTGCCGGCTTGGGCGTGGAAGTACGCGGAGGCCTGGCAGCTGAGTTGGTTGGCAGGCCCTGGTAGGGAGGAGGTACGAGGCTCGCTCCTGCTTCAGCCTGGCTGCGGCCCTAGGACAATCCAGCTCCCGACTCGCCCGACTGGCTGCTCCAGTTCAGCCCATTTGCTGGTTCTCTAAGGAGGCTGGAGACGGGGAATGAGAAAGCTGGAGATGGACTTGCAGGAGACGTGCGGGTTTTTTGTAGGGGGACTGCCTCCAGCCGCGGGGGCTCACGCCGGGCGCTGGGCAGTCTTTGCTGCCAGGGATGTAGTTTGTCTCTCTCATTGCAGCTGTCAGAGGGCCAGTGTCAAGCAAACCCCGCGTCCTCCCTCCAGTGCGTGGGCTGACAAGTCAGGGCAAAGACACGGTGCCACCAACATTGAGCGGGCTTTTTGGGGCTGTCGGGGAAACGGCAGAAACCCTAAACCTCGGCTCTAGCTTCGGCTCCACGTGGAGCGAGCGGCTTTGTTTACCTCGGGCTGGGTTTAACCCTCGTTTCCTTTCTGATGTGTCTCCAGAAACGCCCGGCCCCATGCCGCCTGTTCTGTCCCAACCTCCGGGGCTTCCTGTGGCTGAATCGCATGGGGAAAAAACCCAGCGTTTCCTCCCGGCTGGTTTGACTTTCCAACCTCTTCGCTGCTCCGCCTGTCCTGTGCGACTCAGGCAGGGCGGGAGCCCGTCTCCCTTCTTCCGTCTGCTCTGACCGAGCCCCGTGCCCCGCGGCTCTGTGCCGCCCGTGCTACCCGCGGCGTGTCAGGGCCCCGCAGGAGCTGCGAGCATGGCGTGTGTGGGAGCAGGGGGGAAGCGCAGTTGCAAGGCGATGAAGCTGCAGTTTTTCAGAGGAAGTTGATGCCATCCGGCTGCACGTGGCAGGGGAAGCAGGGTGGCAGGGCTCCAGTCTGCGGTCAGGGCATGGACATGGGGTGCCAGGCAGGGTCCCCTCTTTGAGTCATTGTGCCGCCCATTCACAGTTGTGCGGGAATCACGCAGGCTGTGGCGTGATGCCTGCGGGAAGAAGACCGGGCTTTGCCGTTCCGCCGTGCGGGGAATTGGCTTTGATGCCTCAGAAATGGACATTTCTCCAGCTTCTCTGGCAAGGCAAAGATGTGGCGAGCGCGGGCAAGGAGCGAGCCACGGGCTGCATGCCGGGTGCTGCCAGCTGGGGTCTGCGGCCCCTGAAACCTCTTCTCCCCAGAATGCAGGTCTGGCCTTAAATGGCAGCCGCCCGCTCCTGCCGTGAAGGGCAAAGAGTTGTTTGCAAAGACATTTAAAAAGCACCAGGTGTTCTTTTTTCAAAGGACTGTGCCCCGTTTTTTGCCCAAAACTATTGGCCACGTTCAGTCCTGGTCCCACCGCAGCTGCAGAGCTGACTCCCCGGTCCCAGCTCTACCCAGGCCTCTTTATACACCCAGCTCAGCCAGGCCCTGTGCTGCCCACCAGCCCTTCCAGGGCTCGGGGTGCAGCAGGCAGCTCAGGCCTGAGAGCTGTCAGGGATTAGTGGCACCAGCTGTGCCTCCAGATGTGCTGCCCTTCTAGGCTGCCCTGGAGCCACTGGCAGGCTCGGGGGACTGGCACGTGCTGCTGATAATCCTCGCGGTGATGTTGCCGCCGATACCCACCGGGGCTGCGCGGCCCCCTCCGCCCCCTGCCCGTCCGTGTGTGCAGCGCCATGCCGTGGGGCGGAGGGCAGGGCTGTGCTGCGTGTGCAGGGCACGGGGGGTGTTGCCTCTATGGGCACAGAGGGCAAGCGTGTCGGGGCAGGCTGCATCTCCCTTTGCCAGCGCGGAGGCTTGGAGCTGCTCCTTTCCATCAGGGAGGCTGTGCGTGCCACCTCTCTGCAGCCTGGGGCCAGGTGGCTGGTTCTGGCCACTCTTCGGCTTTTGGGCTCCCCCAGGTCCATCCACTGTGCTGCCCTCTGCTACCCATGGGCATCTCGCAGAGGACAGGGGGCTGCGGGGAAAAAGCCCCAGGCCCAGCCACCGCGGTGATGCAAGCTTGTCTTGTGAACCCAGCGTTCTTTCCTGCCTGTGGCAGGGGGTCAGGCTAGATGATCTGTTCAGGTCCCTCCTGACCCTAGCTACTATGAAACTATAAGCTCCAAGTGACCGTGGTGCTTGTTGGCAGGCAACCCCGGCAGGGCCGGGGGCCCGGTGCGACGGGCACAGTAGGTGGGATCAGTGCGGCACTGGGGGAGAGCCCCTGTGGGCTCCGCCTGGGTCCCTGCTCCTTGTGCTTGTGCAGCCCCTGGCACGGGGATCCCTGCCACGCCACAAAGAGCAGCTGAGCGGGAGGTGCCGCGTGCTGAGCGGCTCAGCTCGGCTCCCCGCATCTGGTAGCATGGGCCTGCGATGCGCCGTTCACCAGCTGGGTGGGCCGTGTGGGCTCTGCCCTGCACTAACCCGCCGTTATTTACTCAGCAGTTGAGCTCCGAGGCCTCAGGCCGGTGTCATCATCGGCCATAATTCAGGCTCTGGCAAGGCCGAGGGTACGTGCTCCGCGACCAGGAGCCGGACAGGGCAGACGGGAGCTGAAATGGGAACGTGGAAACACGTGCCGGGGGGATAGGAGCCGGGGGGTCACAGATACTGGAAAGGAGCAGCGCCGGAGGCGGATGCGAGACGGGGGAGCCGGTCCGGCCGTGCCCAGACGAGGGGCCTGTAGGGTGGGAGACGGGCGGCTCCTCCAGAGAGCACACGGGCAGATGCCGCAGCCCTGGAGTGCTGTCCCACTGCGTGCCCCAGTTCGGACTGGGGGCTCCAGCTTGTCCAGAGCCCCCCAGGCTGCAGGGTCGCCGCGGGAGCCCATGCCGGAGATGACTCAGTTCCTGCCGGTCGGGAACCAGCTTTCTGGCTCTTGCACCAGCGCGGCTGGATTACTGACTGCTGGCCCCGCGCCCTCGCCTCCCCCAGCCGGGCTCAGCAGAGCCGCCCCACAACGGCCAGCTGGCCCCCGGCCAAGGCAGCAGCGAATGTGAGCGCGAAAGGCAATGGCGAAGGAGCGATGGTTGCGGCTGGGCCCCGGGTGCTTGCTGGTGCTTCCTTGGGCGCCTCTGCTTTGTCACGGGAGCCTCGCACCTCAGGTGCACGCCCTGTGCCGGCTGCCTGGTGCTCGGGCAGGACCAGGCCGAGGGGCAGAGTCCCCGTCTGTGACCCTCTGCTTCCAGCCCAGCATCCCGGCTCCAGCGCGGGCAGGAGGGAGAGCACTGGCTCAGGTGCATCTTGAGGGCTCCCCGCCCTGTTCATTACCCTCCCTGGCCTCCACGAGCTCTGGGTTAGCAGCGTCCGGGCCCTGCCCGTTCTGCTCTTCATGGATCTGTCGCCCGTGACTTTGGCTGGGCAGCAGCAGGGCCAGGTTGGCAAAGGGCCCAACAGGGTTTTAAAATACGTCTGGACCCCTACGTTGCCGACGCCGCGGGGAAGCCGGAGGTTTGGGGGGCGAGAGCTCGGCACCGCACCTGGCAGCACTGGGCTCAGGCTCAGCGGCACGTGCGGGCTGGCTCCCGTGGGCGTTGCAGGGTGAGGGTGGGCAGGGGGTAGCTGTTTCCCTGCCCATGCAGCTGAGGCTGTCGGCGCTGGGACCGCGTTGCTCACCACAGCTGTGCTCTTCTCGGCCCCCAGGTACAAGTGCCTGGTGACGGGGAAGCGGGCGCGAGGCATCATCGCCGTGCTCTGGCTCCTGTCGTTCGCCATCGGGCTGATCCCGCTGATGGGCTGGAACAGCGCCATGGGCGGCTGCCCCAACACGACCAACGCGTCGGCGGCAGTCGAGGAGAGCCGCAAGCCCTGCGTGGTCTTGTGCCTGTTTGAGAACGTGGTCACCATGAGCTACATGGTCTACTTCAACTTCTTCGGCTGCGTGCTGCTCCCTCTTGCCATCATGCTGGGCATCTACATCAAGATCTTCATGGTGGCCTGCAAGCAGCTGCGGCAGATGGAGCTGATGGGCCACTCCCGGGCCACCCTGCAGCGGGAAGTGCACGCGGCCAAGTCGCTGGCCATCATCATGGGGCTCTTTGCCTTCTGTTGGCTGCCCCTGCACATCCTGAACTGCCTCACCTACTTCCTCAAGGGCTTCAGCCACAGCAAGCCCCAGTGGGTCATGTACATAGCCATCATCCTGTCGCACACCAACTCCGTCGTCAACCCCGTCATCTATGCCTACCGCATCCAGGACTTCCGCTGCACCTTCCGCAAGATCCTCTCCCAGGTGCTGTGCAAGGCGGACAGTGGCCCCAAGTGCCCAAACGGCCACAGCCAGCACCTGACGGTCAGCAGCATCATCAGTGCCACCCCCACGTGTGTGTGACTTGACACGTCCCGGGCCTCGACGGCCTGGTCCTGGGAGCAAGGATGCTTGGCTCCCCGAGAGGAGTCGCGCCAGGAACCGTGTGCATTTGTACTGGTTTTTACGTGAATTTTTCTATGACCACGGTGCCTCGTAGAGGGAGGATGTGACCGGGGGCTCTGCACGGCTCACCCAGGCGCATACCTGGGTGCCCGGGGTGCGGGTGGGCGCTATCTCCTGCCCAGTCAGAGGTTGGACCTGAACCACCCCCCCAGCGCAAGCTCCCCTCATTGTGCTGCTCGTCCCCACCCTTAATTTTATTTTCCTCCCCCGTCTCCTTCCTGTAACGATCCCAGTTACTCAGGGCAGTGTGGCCCTGACGGCACGTTAGTCAGACCCTGGTTGGTTTTTTTTCTTCCATCAATTGTTTGATGCAGCTTGTATTCTCCCATGGGAAATCCTCTTCCTGTCGCCCAGTTGCTGGTGTGACCCGAAGCTGTGCGCCAGGCTCGGGAGGAGCAGGCCGTGAGCGGGAGGCCACTCGGGGCAGAGCTGGCCTCGCTCCTGTGGGGACATCAGAGGAAAGAGGGGCTGGGATGGCAGGAAGGTGCCGCTGCCTCCACCTCCTCAGCTCCCCCGTTCCCAGCGCGATATCCCGCCCTGGCAGTGACTAATAGGGACGGGGTAGGGCCCCTCTGAATCTCACCGGGCAAGGCCCTGTGTGCTCAGGCCCTGCAGCCAGCATGGGGCCAAACCCAGCTGCTGTTCTGAGGCAGCCGGGGGAGTCCAGGCGGTTGCGGACGCCTTTGCCCTTGCGCGCGTTTTTGATCCGCTGTGTAAGTGGCTCGGACGTTCCCAGCAGGGAGTCAGCAGCCGGAGACGCTGCCGAAGCAGGCACCCCCAGTGCCCGCCTGACCCCGTGCAGCAGGCCCATGTCACGGCCAGCGCTGTAACTCGGTGTCCAGCTCGTCCCCGGTCACTGCACGCGGTGTGTCTCATCCATGTCTGAGCCCTGTTTGGTCTGTGCGTGGCGCAAGCAACTGGATAAAGGTGGGAAGAACCAGGCCCTTTGCAGCCGTGTCAGCTCCGTGAGGGGTTTGCGTGTTTTTGGACGTCGAGCTCTGGGGTTGAGAAATGGGCTGTGGGGGTGCTGGTCCCCCAGCAGAGCAGGCGCTGGGGGTTGGGGTCCTGGGCGAAGTGGCAGCAGGTGGCTCTGAGCCTCCCGGGCACTGCAGCACGGCCCTGCCCAGCCAGAAGGCTGAGCTCCGGGGATGATCCCGGTTGCGGAGACGGAGCTGAGCACAAGCCGATCCCACCAGCCTCGCGCCTGCCCCGCAGGGTCCCGACTCGGCTCCCGCCGGCTGGCTGTGCCTTCCGCTGCTGCCGTTTCCCAGGCACGGTCCACAGGGCAAAGGTCTCATGTCTCCAGCTCCCAGCTTGTCTCTGCTGCAGGAGCTTTGCTCACGGTCTAGCCCCCATCTGTGACCTTCTAGGCAGGGTTTGGTGCTTTTATCTGTCTCTCGTGTGTCTGCTCTCACTGGCTGCATCCTTCGTGTTCATTGTGATCTCCAAGCAGCTGCCCTCGCTGCACCTTAATTTACGAGATCACGCAACCAAGTGCCACAGCAGAGCCCGGGTCCAAGAGCAAAGGGCTGGGCTTCCCTTTCCCTGTACCTCTTATGGGCCATGAGGGCTGGAGAGCACCCTGCCACGGGCTGCTGTGGCCAGTGCCCTGGTGTGGACGTGCTTCTGGGTTCCTTTCTGCTGGTGGCAGAGGTCCAGTGTGGGGCCAGCCCCGAGGCCATCAAAAGCAAAATGCAAATGGGCAGATTCTGAGCCCTGACGGGGTGCTTAAAAAAACTGTCAATGTAAGTGAAAAGGGCAGGGGCAGTGCTAGGCACCGCTTCCCACGTGGGGCTGGGCATGCGCACCCATCTCCACTTGTTACCAGGTTTGGAGCTACAGGAACGCTGCTATTTGCATGCAGAACCCACAGCTGCTGCCACGGGCTGCTGCAGGGGACCCTGCAAGGGGGGTGTTGTGCAAGGGGGACATGCACACCCGCGACCCCTGCTGTGCCACGGTGGGCCTGGCTTGTTGCACCGCGCGTGGACTGGAGGGTCAGGTCGTTTCTCTTCCCCCACTGGGCAGCGTGGGGCAGAGTGAGCTGGGCCCAGCTCGAAGCGCAAGTGCCCCCAGCTGTCCCGCTGCGGTACCAGAATCACAACCCAATCGCTGCGCTCTGGGGTGGACGCTGGGGCCTGGGAAGACAGACAGGGCTCCCTGGCTCTGGCAGCACTGGGCTGTTCCTGACTCCCAGCCCTCCCTCCAGGGCCTCCAGCGGGGTCTCTCCCGGGTGCAGCGAAGCTGGCAGCCCCTCGCAGCTTTGCGCTGCCAGTGCAGCAGGGCTTGGCCGTAGCTGCACCCGCCACGTGCCCTGGGCCTCGCCCTGCAGCGCCTGCTGCTGAGAACCGGGCTGCCAAAGGTCTCCATGGGGCCCTGCCCTGCTGTGCTTCAAGGGCTGACCCAGCCATGGCACACAGCACCCATGGGTGTGGAGTGTGGCAGCCTGGCCTGGGGCAACTGCTGTTTCTGCCGTATCCCAGCCCCCGCCCCAGCAGCAGCAGGCAAAGGTGCTGATGCCACCAGGATCTCAGCCAGCACACAGCTCCTCAGGTAGGTTTATTAACAGTGCGACTAGCACCTGGGCCCGGGCGGGCGGGCGGGCTGACTGCTGCGCTGCCAGTCCGCCTCCAATTCCTGAGGAGAACTGGCAGCCTTGATACGTGCTTGCTCAGCTTGGAGCGGGGCAGGCAGCTCACGCGCACGCGCCACCGGGACCACAGGTGCTTGCAGGTGGGTGTTAGCGCACAGAGTGGGTCCTTCATCCATCCTCGTCTTCCTCCGCCAGCAGGATGTTCGCCAGCTGTTGGTCGGAGACAGTTTGCTCCTGGCAGGCGCCGGTGGCCTGGCTGAGGTAGACAGCGAGGATGTGCTTGCACTGGGGGGTGGAAAGTTTGAGCAGATGAACAGCAGGGACAGCAGCGGGGCCCCTCTGCACTTGGCTCTTCTGGGATCAAACAGGTCCCTGCTGCTGCCCCTGGCTCCTGCTCCACTCCTGGCACTGGCCCCATTCTGGCTGCATCCCAGTCTTTCACTGATCCCATGTTTGCAGCCAGAGCACTGGGGCTCTCCGCAATGCCCCTGGGAGCTACTTGGCTCCCACCTCCATGCAAAGCCCACGTCCACCCCCACACACGGGCTCCTCACCAGCAGGCTGTCGGCCTTGCGCAGCACGGAGAAGGCAAAGGCTGGGCACGTGCAGAAGTGACAGGCGGCGTAGCAGGTGTAGAGCCTGCCCGAGCTCCCCAGCACCTGGAACACAGGCGGCCACCCAGGCCGGGGTCAGGAGCAGGCCACGTCCCAGCCCCATCCTGCAGCCGAGTGACAGGCCACCCTTGCAGGGGACACCTAGTGCCCAGCCCTCCCCCTCTCACCACCACCTCTGCTGTGCTACCCGTGGCATGTCCTATTTGGCTCCATGAGCATGAGCCATGGGCAGACAGGGCTCCAGGTCCCTTCTTGAGGACCCCCTGGTCCCTCCCAGCGCTGGAGCTGACCCCATAGCAGGAAACAGCTCCCCAGCCTCTGTGCACTCCTCCACTTGGGCTGCCTGGAGCACCGGGTGCTCCCTTCCGCCACACAGAGGCAAGCACCCCAATGGCTTGGCAGCTGCTTTGCTGGTGGTACCCATCGTGTCCCCTACCCTGGGCCCTGGGGGGGCCAGGAGTGGCATCAGCTGGGTAGCTGAGACAAACCCTTAGACCTGCCAGGCAGAGGCGCTCCCAGAAGTGGGACAGACGCAGCCCGCAGGGGGGCTAGCGGCTCTGATGCTGGGGCTCTGGCCGTCTTGTTAGCACAAGCTGCTGCAGCTGCTTGGAGTCTGCTCCAGTTGTGCAAAGAGAGCTCGCACTTCCTGCGAGGGGCCTGGCAGCTCCGTTTCTGTCCTGGGGATACTGTGGGCAGGCCGACACGGCCTGTTCTCACAGCCTGGGCTGGGGAAGCAGCGGGGAGCTCCGTCCCCCACGGCTGTGGCTGGAGGAGGTTTCCATACTCCCCAGCCTACAGCAGCGTTAGCTACAGGCCTCTCTGGTATCTACCGCGAGGAGGCTGGACTTGATGCCAGGGCAGTGACTGCCTGCCCAACCCCGTGCCCTGTTGACCAAACACTGCAGAGGTGAGCAGGGCTCCTCTCTATTTCTGCTAGATGCCAAGTGCCCAGGTTATTCAGAGCCCCGCTCCAAAGAAGATCTGAGGGAGCAGGGCATGTCCTTGTCCAGCATGGCCAGGGCAACACGGGCAGACAGTGACCAACAGATGCTGGAGAGCCTGAGCAGGACGCGGAGCAGGCGTGGTTCATACCTGGTACGCCGCCCGTCCGCTGGGGGACACGACGCGGGTCACCGAGCGCTGGTCCACCAGGTCCAAGGCTGGGACAGCAATTGGGCCGAACACAAACTTGAGCCTGGGAGAGAAACCGGTGGGCTAGGGCACAGTGCAGACAGTGTGGATGTGCCACCCCACAGCTTGCTGCTGCCCCAGTCAGGTGGTGGCCACCTTCCCCCCACCCTGAGCACCTGGAGACACCTGAGTTACGGGCCAGAGCTGCTGGGACTTGAGGCCTCCCAGGTCAATGGTCAGGCTAAGAAATGACTCGAACATGAGTCTCTCCCAGCGAGGCTGCTTTGCATTGCCCCTGCTGTGACAGCAAGGCCCTTGAAGCAGGACGGAGACCAGAGCCCTCCCACTGCGTTTATGGCCTTTATCTGCAGATAGATAGCTGCCATACCTGCTGCGAGTCACGTAGGGATACCTGATAACCTGCTTGGGGGGGGCTGGACACCTGAACCTGGCACCTATTGTCCAGGCAGCTCCTAGGCTTAGGTGTGCTGCTAGACGTGCTCTTCCTGCATGCCTGGGAACCCGTTCCAAGGAGCTCAGGGGTGAGGCAGGAGCTTTGGGGTCCTTTCATCCCTGGGGAAAATTCCCCAAAGCCTGAATTAGTGACAAAGGCAAACAGGAGACAGCCAGGAGAGCCGCTCTGGGCGAACAATGAGGACAGGAGGAAGCAGACATGCCCCCTCTGCTCTGGGAAGAAGGCTGGGAACGAGAGGTCGAGCCCAAGTCCAGCATCTCGGCAGTGCAGCTGCCGTGGATTTCTGTGCTGGTCTGACTGGCCGCGGGCCGAGCTGACGGACTCAGTCCTTGAAGAAATCAGAGGGGATCTGGCAGGACCACGTCAGAGGAGCGAGCGAGCGAGGGCGGGGGAACACTCCTGGAAGGAGGGCGCATGGTGCTGGGAAAGGGCCCGGTGGGGAGTGAGGCAGGAGGTACTTACGCCAGCAGGAGTTCATCAGGGACTGCAAGAAAAAGAGAAAGGAACATTACTTTGCTGATCTCCTGCTCCCCTGCTCCCTTAGGACACATACGCCCGGCCCTGCAGCCACTGGCCTCTGGCCACAAGTGGGAGCAGAGTGGGTCACTTCGGGAGTTTCCCATGTGACTCCTGGTGCTATTGGGGGGCAGAGGCAGTGCTGGCAGGGAGGGAGCAAGGCTCTTCAGCCCCTTCCATCACAGCAGGTGGCTCTGGGGCTCCCAGACTGCCCAGTCTGGGCTGCAGACACCCCACTGGCTCCTGCCAACTCCTGCGCCTGCAGCACGGGGCACTGAGCTCAAATGGCTCAGGGCACATCATCCACAAACCCTCATGAGAGACTCGCTGGGAAAGGAAAGACAGAGCCCCAAGGCCTGGGTTCATGACATGCTGCTTCACAAAAGCACAAAGAAAGGCCTGGCAGTTTAATCACCTGGACCGTTGCTTTAATGGACTGAGGGGGGTGTTCCCCCCCAAAACAGAGTCCATATATATGCGCTTCCTGCGCTGCTTTATTTTGGAATCGCTCGATGAGGTCAAAATATCTAAAAGCTTGCCTCTCTGCAGGGCCTGTCCCTTCCCAACACAGTCCCAGAGGGCTCGGCCAGCTCTCAGCAGCTTATCTGGCACATGGAAAAAATGACGCTGCTACTGAAGAGGGGAACTGGTTAAGCGGGGGCAGTTGCAGTAAAGAAAAGCTCTTGAACCCATTCACGTTAATAGTTTTGGCCCCAATCCTGATCTTCTGCTTATCCCTACTGGGATCCCAGCAGCACTTTGAAGTTGTGAGGCTCTGGTCAGTCGTCTGTTTATCTGGCTCTCGTGTCCAGTGCAACATCTCTGGTTTCAGTCACCTTAAAACCCCTTGTTGTTGCTTGATTTTTTCACATTAGGGCTTTATTAAACCCTCTGAAAAGACCTACCCAACTCAGCCCCAGGTTCTGAACCTCCACTGCCCCGACAGCATCCGCCACATGCCAGGCGGAGCTCTGTGCAGCTCTCTTTGGTGCCCAGGGCGGTTGTGCCTATGCCAGGCTGTCCCGAGCCCTTGTTCCTTTAAACGAAGCATTCAAACCGGCTTGCCTGCTTTCCTGTTTGT